CCTACAGGACTGTACTCAGGGCTATCCGAAGTATAGATAGGAGGAATACACTGGCTAGCAAAAATGTAGTCAAATGATGTCAGGAGATAGTGTCAAGTTAAGGGTCACTGAAGGAGAATATTTTTTTTCTTTTGCGAAAGTTGACTCATCTTCCTACACAGTAACTCAATACAATTACAAATTTAGAGACTGATAGAGGTCAACCTAATACATGTGCAGTATAGATATGGCAAATCGACTTCTCAAGAACAAATTACCTTCAACATCATCATCAAAAATCAGGTCAAATAATTCAGCAGTTCCACATCCATCCAGACACAGCACAATTGGTATAATATGAGGTTATTACAAGGATACCTCAAAGTATGCATGAAAACAGTGGGAGTATCGACGCGCAGTGGAGGTCGATGCGACGGCATACTGTCTGAGTGCATACTTGTAATAACCTTATGATACATCTTTTCCTACCAAGGATACATCATGGGAATGCCTAAATCCAAAAAGTTTAGAACAGAATCAGCGAACTTCTTTCTGTGGAGTTCGGTCAAATTCTAGTGGCAACCATTATTTGGTATTTGGCATTTCTTTATCGGGTAGGATGAAAATACACCGCAAAATTACGGCACGCTGTAATGTATGGCGTTACAGTGACAGATGTATAATAATAATTATTCAACACTAAAACAAACTCCAGTGAGTTCTATGGTCGTATAAAAATAAACTACATTAAGATACAGTAAAGTTAACCAACTAAAAAGAATGCTAAATAAAGCATTGTTATAGCTCAGTAGACCTACAGTCCTATCAAATCTTCCAATAGTTTAACTGAAACTATCTAATAGAGCAGTCACACTTGGTACCTAAATTTAAAATGGCAAAACTTGTTTTGACAATAGCATTTTATTTAAGACAAGTCGTTGAAAATGACACAGTCCCCCGTTAAATTTGTGAAAGTTCTCTTTGTGCTCGTCATATTAAAGCAGAGGTGTTGTCAGAACGTGTCCTTAAAACATGAGTCCCAAGTGGCAAATACAACAGATTGTTTATTTACATCAAATTCGAACATGTGTTGCGTGACGACCCCTCCGGTTTAAGACATAGCGAAGAAAAACATAGATCACAAGTGAAAGTAAAACAAATTGAGGTGCATGTCTATGTTATTGCACTTGCTAAATTTGTTTAAAGTATGTTTGAGAAAATACAAGTCTGAGGATCGGAATGAGGCACTAAAATTACATTACCATACATCTCATGAACACGAATGCTTGTTGCCATGGTGCCCTACAATCAAATCTTTACATGGGGCTTACAATGTTAACATGTGTAATGACCAAATTTGAGATTCTGGAATAGGGAATACAGCAATTGCAACTCTTTGTAATTGTATTGTTAGTTCTGGACTAAGGTGGCTAATTATACCCTTTGTACAAGTCAAGCGTCCTCTTGTGTTGAATATTATGGTGAAGGCAGTGTTAATAAATATGACTCCGGACGTAAGAACTGATGCACAGATGGACTTTATCCGAATGGGGACTAAAAAAAAATCATTCTAGAGAATTGAAAATTCTGGCATCATGCACAGTACTGGTATATAAAAAACAGATATAGCATCTAAGACTTATTCGTGACATTAAATAAAGATGCAACACTAAAGTTTTACCTTGCCAAGAAACCACAAGGTTATGTTTGCAGCAGATCTGACATTGCCCTATTTTTTTCCAGTTAGATCATGAATATTCATAAATTTTTGTCCCGGCTTCATTTGCCACAATTTCAGTAAATTCCAAAAGGTCAACATGCATGTACTTCATAATAAATGTTCTCACTTTCAAAACATATTCCCTTTAAAAATGCAGGAATTCTATTACGAATTTTGTGTTGACTCTATAAATGCCTTCCTTATTTTCTGGCTCCATTCCATTCAAAAATTGGCAAAGCTAGTATGGTACCCATAACAACTCTGCTCTGAGAGACAAAACGCTGAATAGAACCTAATATGCTATGTGAAATGAAAATTGTTCCACTGGAATCAATAAGACAATAAGTCCTTGTAAATATTTGTTATTTAGTCAGTTTGTCATGGTATTTCCATGTAACACTAATGGGTGTTGCACTAAAATACCATGGCTAGGAGTTGTGATTGACTTTACTAAACAAATGGTGAGACTGCAAAATGTTTCCCAAACCTCTGGAGAAGTTGTTGGCGAAGAGTGAGGCAATCGCTATAGGAATACATGGTGAATTTTTACACTAAAAGCACAGTAGTCATCGTGCTGCGTCTTATTCGATATGGGAGTCATGGCAACGCACACAATGTGTGTAAAATACATTGCTTGTATTACATGAAATTCGAATCAATAGTTTGTATCTAAATAAAGTGAATGTAAACTACTGTATTAGTGTGTTGACTTTACTTCTTTTTTAGAAAATCTTGCTTAGCTGTATATAGACTTTTACTGGGCAAGAAACATGACTACAATATATGAAATCAGACACAAAAGTAAAGAAAAATTTATTATCAAGCATAAAATATATGCTTGATGGAATAAGGTGTTGCTATGATACAAATAGATCAGTATCCATATTTGTCATTTAGATGAGTTTTACCATCTCCAGTTTGCCCTGAAAAGAAATAGAAAACAATGTCATTTAAAGAGTTATATTTCATTTTCTATAGAGAAACATAATACCGGTATATGATGGAAAAAAAAAAATCCTACAGCAGTCTGAAAAATGACATTATACAAGCAGATAGATGTTACAGAGACATTATTCATTTGATGTACCAAGCATTTAGGCCTTACAACTCGGATCTAAACTAGTAGTAAAAACAAAACGAGTGTACAAACCAACTGGTGGCATCCAAGCCGCATATGTATCGTCTTCCTCTAGCTGATCATACTGCACAGGTGGAAGTTTGGTGACGGGCTTTTTAGTAGATCTTTTTGATTCTTTGCACTGTGGATGCAAAAAAAAAAAAAAAAAAAAAATCAGTTTTCTCTACCAGTTTATTTACAATTTTCATGTAGTGAAAGAGAACACATTTCCCAACAGGACCCAATAGTCAAGGACTAATGAAAAATGAAATTACCTAAAAAATACTGACAAATAGATGAGAATAACATGATTATTGATCAAATATGGTTTTATTTATTTTCAGCATAAACAGCATCAATATTATGTAGATCAACCAAAGTTAGCTTGGGATTGGCTTCTAGAACATTAACTCGAGTTTACTTGACTTGTTGCAAAGTCTCACACTTTTTTGCCCCTCCCCCTTTCCAAATGTTTTCCAATATAACGAATCTGTCATGACTCGCACGTAAATCACTTTTATCTTGGTTTCAAGGGTAATAAAATAAACCAAGACATGGTCACATACACATAGAATAAACATACCTCTTTCGTCTTTTCAGGCGATGACTTTATTTCTTTCACTCTTTCCTCTTCATCCCCAGCATCTTCTGCAGTTACAGTTGTCATATCAACCATGGGTTCACTGCTGCTCACATGTGTCAAATTGTCATCTTTGTTGCAATTCTCTACAAACACAGAATAAAAAGTTTTATACTTTCAACAAAGACATATTCAGCAAATCACCAAATTATGTCTATTTAGTTCAGACTGACATTTGAAAAATGTCTGATACTGGCAACAAATGTTAATTTGGTGCATAGAAGAGATAGATACCTTCTGTAGCTGTACTAGACAAGTCTGATGTTGTTATTGTAGGTGTTTCCTTGACAACACCTTCTTCTTCATCATCATCATCATCCTCCTCATCCTCTTCTGGAGCAGAAGAGACAGTTTTCACAGCAGAAGCTAAAGTCTTTTTTTGAAGTATATAAAAGTAATCAGTGTAACCATCTGAACATTTGGTCACCACTCACAAGAAACATGCTTTTTTTTCTTCAAATTTAGACCGATGACAATATGATGTGCATTTGGTCCAAATTACAGGTATCGGTATAGAATAGAAATTATAGCAATATACTAGTATATAAACATATGCAATCGATTGAAGCAGACTATCCCATCAATAATTGGACTAATGGCAGTACAGAAGTTATTACATTACTAGACCTCTACATATATGTTATTAGCCTTAATCAGTTGTTAACCAAGTAGGCCTTAGATATCTTGCACAAATTCACGTATTTTTTTTATCTAATTATTTTCTAATATAATAATAATCCTTACGTCAGATTTGAATTTCTTGAATGAAATGGTTGATTTCTTCATAGTGCCGACCATTGGCATTCTACCCACAGTAAATGACTTGGGAACGTCAGTGGATCTCTTTGTTGCAGCAACTGGGGATCTAACAGAAAGGTGTACAAGTTAAAATACCCATGATGCTCTGCTTCATTTTATATTTTACTGTTTTTCCTGTTGTAAATGCTATGTTACTATTTTTTTTAATGTATAATATATGTGAACATATTCCCCCACTACTACATGTGTAAAAAACAATGTTGGTTGGTTCAGTAAGGTACTTTAGTATATTGTGTGTAGAGTGGAGCTCCATGTGTGTATAGCTTCCTGACTTAGTAATGAATGACTTGTTAGTTTGTTCATGGTATTACAATAAGGAACACTGCCTATAAATATGATGCATTATGGCAACCAGTGTTTTCTAAAGGACACTCAACAAGTCACTATAGCCATGTTCATACAAATCAATCCAAAATTGTAGTAATCATTTGTTGTATGGCATAAAACTAGAAATTCATTGATCATGCAGATTCTTAGCAGACAAGATGATGGTGAAGGCTTGAATCAATTCTGTGCAGTCAAGTACATATTCAGCATTAAATACTTGAGATATGCACTATCTTGTGGATCAAAATAGAAAAAGTAGAAACAGCCTAAATGGATGTGTCCCTAAGATGGATTTGAAAATCATTATTTGTGGAATATATTTCCTGTTGAGGGGAGAATACAACTTACTTTTTCAGCTCCGGCAAAGCAGTTGGCTTTGCAACCTTCATTAACTTCTGCAATTTCAATCTGTCTTTTCTCAAGTCATAAAGTTTAAGTTTGAGTTTCGACCTAGAAACTTTGTCTTTCCTGCTGCCAGACTTTATTGTCTGCATAAATGCATCTAATGAATCTTCATAGCTGGTTGATGTGGACTGCTCTGTGGATTCTGGAAAACCAATCAGCATTGACAATTTTCATCACATGACATTATTGTCAATGGTTCATACTGTTAGGTAACAAAAGCTCATTTTTGAACATAATATAAATGAACTATTTCATATTTTTAGCATAAAGGTTATTTTTTAGACTTTACCTGACTGTTGCTCTTCTATTTCTTGTTCAATACTTGTGATCTGGCTTTCAACTTCTGTGAACTTTGACATCTGAAAATTGAACATTGAAGTTACAGGATCAAATATACTGTAAACCATTACATTAACCCTTTGAGCACAACATTTTTTTTCTTGCTCAAACTGGCTTAAATTTGTTCACATATTTGTAATTTTTACTAAATTAAATCTTAGTTTTGGACCAAAAACATTAAATTTGATATTACTTCTAATTTTTGATAAAAAAACATTTTTTGTGAAATAGAGCAGACTATAAATAGAACTATTTTGTAGATAATCGGTAATGTGATAATTAAACACAATTTTATGAATTTCACAAAAGTCACTATTACTAGCTGCCTAAAGAACCCCGGTGATAATCCCACAGCAACAAGACTACCAGTATCACAAAATTTTCAAATTACCAAACATGATAAGGATGGTCACGGCTGACACCTCTCAGGAACAGGAATTTCTGAACTGAAACGGGGCTAACTTGTTCATTGTGTTAGATTGTTTTAAATTCTTAAGAAAAATATTTTCCATCCAAAATTACCAACAAAGTCATGGTTTCTATGGAAACGAGTTTGGGTATTCTTGATTTTTATTTGCTCTTTGTCATTAATTTGATAGAATCTTTTACTCCATAATTTGTAGTGCTGTTAACATTTCCATATTTTTTACTAGCTAGTTAGCATTTTCATTTTATTTTACATTCATTGCATTAGGCAAAATAAAAGAATGAAAAATGAAAAAAAAATAAACAAAAATGTAGATAGGCAATATATAATTACCAATGAATCGTAAGTTTCAACAACTGTCTCTTCTTTTCCCGCTTTCTTCATTCTTTGTAATCTTTTTATCTCAATAATCCCTGTTCGATCTAAGAATGTGTCATCGTCGCTGTCATAATAGTCATCATCCTCCCACTTCTTGGATTTTTTCTTCTTACTCTCTGAAACCAGGGTTAGATAATAAATTTTATACGCTTTTCAGTTATAACTAAAATTTCTACAAGTCCAAAGCAGCAGAATAAAATTTCCCAACTGCAATGTTGCATTAGATTCTTCTTTTCATATAACATTACCATAGGATGGCATTCATTTTAATGAACAAAAGTATTTGCCCCGATCCGTGCACTCACCCTGTTATTATGCAATAATAGAGACACTCTTTATTTTTCTCACATATGAGCTAAATCTAGGAATATAGGTGCCATATCTAGAGACAGTCAAGACAAGGAATTGCATATCTAGAGACAGCCAAGACAAGGAATTGCATATCTGGAGACAGTCAAGACAAGGAATTGCA